CATCTTAAGTGATTATTGAAGTGTTTAACCATCAATCCCAGTGGATACGATCTCTTTTTATCATTTGCTATATCGATTGTGTACACTTGCACAAGGGGACATAAATAGAACCAACAATAGTTAACAGTGTTACATCTAAAGATTGACTATTTCACGGTCCGAACTTATACAAACTCATTGTATAGGATACCTCCACTCGCACGTCTCCACATGAATGACCTGGATCGGGTCATCTGTAACACTTACAAAATGAGTCGTATCCATAGTGTTGTCAAGATAAGGTACCCAACCTTATCCATGTACTATAGAACTTTTAGGTTATCCCGAGACATTATCCACTTGTATATCGAGGGTATATCAAATATATACCCAGTATATATACTGTCTCGGTTACATATAATAACCTTGGATATTTAGTTAATTGGATTTGGACAGTGCAATTCTATGAATTCAACAACAAATTGATTGAATATAAATTTGTTTTTACATAAATACAAATTACGAGTTTAAAGCAACACACCCAACAAATACTATATGGCATACATTATGCAATATACATTCAAAATGCATAAAATAATTAAATAGCGGACCGAATTTTGGTATCCTAAGAAAGCAAAAAAAAAAGAAAGAAAAAACGCAAAAAAGTAGCCCGAAACAGCCCTCGAACCATGAACCAGCATATCTGAAACACTCAGGACAACGTCGCGGTGCCAAATGGCAGCATCGTGGCGCTGCTGCAGCCAAAACCCGCAGTTGCAACACCAATGCGCTACATTGCAGCACTGTGGTGCTGCTGCAAAGCGCCATGGCACTATCGATGCAGTCTGCTTCGTCTTCTTGGCAGTTTTCTACAAAAATCGACCCAATCCGACGCCATAAACAGCTTTCGAGCGACCCGAACTTACAGACTTGATACAGAAACAAAATGTCCAAAACAACGGGCCCTTACATGATCGAATCAAGAAGAAAAACTCTATCTAAATGCCAAAATTCGCAAACATCCAACTCGCAAAACCCATATTTCGAACATGCAGAATTACCCACCATTTTGTGGGATTTTGATCCCAAAAAATTCAGGACGTAAATGCCGCTCTGATAACAATTGAAAGGATGTTAATTCTGTAGTGGAAACGGAGATCTTGTGCTTTAATTTCGAGGAACAAAACACAAAATAGAAAAAGAAAATACAGGGGAAAAGAACTCTTAATTTTGAAGAACCTCAAAGAAACTCGAGTGAACACCACCACGGCCTTCCTTACTATGACTCCGGCAAAGATCCCATTGTGTGGGAACCGATAGGGAATTCGTTGGTGATAGAGAGTTTTTTCAATAGAGAGATTTTTTCCTTTGTTTCTTTTTTTTTTCCAGGTTGAAGGACAAGAGAGCCTGCAGAACAACTTCTGCATATTAACAAAAAGGGTTACATTTAAAGATTAGCTATTTCGCGGTTCGGTCTTATACAAAATCATTGTATAGGATACCCTACTCGCATGTCTCCACACGAACGACCTGGATCGAGTCATCTGTAACATTTACAAAGTGGGTCGTATCCATAATATTGCCAAGATAAGGTACCCAACCTTATCCATATATTATAGACCCTTTAGGTTATTCCCGGGATATTATCCACTTGTATATCGAGGGTATATCAAATATATACCCAGTGTATATACTGTCCCGATTTGGACAGTGCAATTCTATGAATTCAACAACAAATTGATTGAATATAACTTTATTGAATATAAATTTGTTTTTGTTGGCTTTTTGGTCTTAATCTCAAATTAATTAATTTTAATTAATTAATTAATTAATGTTTTGATGATAATAAACTTAATTTTATTTATTGACATTTTTTGTATTTTAAAGTGTCCACAGCGTAGAGCTCGTTACAACGATTCCAATGACTGTTAGATCATCCAAATCGGAGCTCAAACGGTGAAATTACGATCGAAACAAATTGGAAGGAAAAATATCCGAGAAGATGATGTGGACAGTTCGTAAGCTGACAAGCGACAAGCTTCTTTTTAAAATATATATATTGAAAAAGAAAAGAAAAAGATTAAAAAAGGAAATTTACATCATGTCAGCATTAAATGCTGACATGTGTCAGTATTAAAAAAATGATGTGAGGATTGAAATTTTTGTGAGCTCAAATTTGTATATTTACTCTATTTGAGAGTTTGTAAGTGTGTGTTTCAAAATCTTCAACTCTTTGTAACGGTGTGATCCTCACCGTGGAGAGGATCGTCTTTGCTCTTGTGAAGAGCAGTGTACCGGTTTGACTCCTACCGTGGAAAGAGTCAGAATTTCAATTTACAACCCAAGAGGTGCTTGGGAAGTGGA